TCGTGACTCTCCGAGACTCCTCGCCAAGTTTTGCAGATATCAGCCTGGCAGTTCTCCAAGCCAGAGAAGGTCTGTGACTGTAAATNGACAGCACTGGCTCTTTGGCTTTGAAACAGAGATGACCACCGCCCCTTAGAATCGGGAATGACTAGCACATATGTGCGAGGGGAACCTTTACCTTTTTTATATGTGATGTTTTTCTACAAGGAAATTATTTCTCTATCATTTCTCTTGCATTGCTCTGGTATACTTACAGATTCTCCATTTTGTGTTTTTAAGGGTATTTTTTTCCTTATGACCACAGAGGAAACACTTGTGGCTAGTGCTCTTATAAAATCTCTGGTCTGTCGCCTCTCCTATTCCATATTTATAGATCTTCAAAGAATTAGCAAGTACCTTTCCTGTCTGAATGTAAAGAGAAAGATGGGAAAGGAAATAAGCTTAAAGCAAAATGCAGAGGAAGTGGTCAAATCCATATGGATTTTTTTTCCCCAAGTCACCAAAATTAGACCATGAAGGTATGTATTTGGCTTTTAAACTTTCCTATTTAAAGGCTTAGTAAGTTACTGGCTGCTGTAAAAACAAAGTAGTACTAATGTAAAGTGACTATAATCTTTTTAAATATAGTCTTTTGTTAGAATTTTTGAATACAGTAAAAAGAGAAAAAAAGAGAAAACAAGGAAAAGGTAGAAAAAAGAAAATGCAGAATTATGACTTTTGCCCTTTTTTCTATTATTCCTCAGTTACTAAATCTTTTTACTTACTCAATCTTAATGGCGTAAGCATCTTAATCTTAATCCTCCCTCTTTAACCCTTTTTAATCCTCAAATCGATAAATCATCAATTCACCTAAAAGTTCCATGTAATGTTTTCAGTCTTTCAAAAAAATCCTCTAATCATTATTTCCCTGACCAAAAAGTCAATCATTTCCAGTTCCTATTTGAAAGATTCTTTGCTTTTCATGCCTGAATTCAGATAGTCCTGGTTTATTGACTGAGTCACAATTTGCTGCTTCAATTGAAAAGCAAGTGAATTACATTACAGGTTAGCCAGCAATTCTGACTTTACACCTTGGGTCACCAACCTTTCGGACCTCAGGGAACATGAAAGTCATAATTTAAAATCCCACGGACCACTAATATGATTTAGCAATAGCAGTTAGACTTATATACTGCTTCATAGGGCTTTCAGCCCTCTCTAAGCGGTTTACAGA